AAGTCTAAACAGTTATTGCTCCTCATTTTTCAGAGATCAATAGAGGACAAAACAAATATGTGCACAAGTTTTTCCTTGCTCTTTTCTCCCCTTTTTAATATATTTGTATATATTCTAGAAAAGTTCATGGTAATTGTCCTGATGAACTTTCCCCTTTTTTTATCTAGATTGGTTTGGGTTGTTTTACAGCATATCAACCTCAATGGGTTATTTAATGCTGACAAAATTTCTATTGCTGGTAATATATTTTCCTTCAAAAATGTATTTTTGGTAAAAATTTTTGTCTTCAAAAATGTATTTTTGGTAATATTTTTTTCTTGAAAAATGTATTTTTGGTAAAAAATTTTTCTTCAAAAATAGATTTTTGGTAATATTTTTTTTCTTGAAAAATCTATTTCTGGTAATATTTTTTTTCTTGAAAAATTCATTTTTGATAATAATTTTTTTACAAAAATGTATTGCTTGTATTAAAATGTATTTTTACACTTTCATAGTGTTTTGACCCCAGTTTGGGGGTTAACTATTTGTCCATAGCTGGGACCTTATCAGGTGCTACCATCATGGGTCAGGGTGAACCTGGGAACACCAGCAATTAAGAGGTGGTTCCACGCTCCTCAAAACCTCCTGGATCAGTGGCCTCACTGTTGGATGTAGTTTATTGTCATACCCAGGACAGCTATTTTACCTAGACCTCATGAATTTAAGCTGGTACTTAATTGGTGATAAGGTCTCATCATTTTACAATTGAAATTGCTAAATGTAACCATAGGTTTTATGCTAATAGTTTCTTCTATTGACACTTCTCACTTGTAGAATTTTCTTCCAGCTGCTTGCTTCCCAGCCAAGTTTCAATGCAATGTCAACCATTATCTTCTATCTTCTAAATTTCTGTTCTCTCATTGTTTATTCCCCTTAAAAATGTTTTTTTTCCCCTCACTATCACTCAGTAACCCCTAGCATTTCAGTAGCTTTATTCTTTAGTTCATATCAAGCACTATGGATTATTTAATATTTTTATTGATACAAGTGTGATATCCTATGCTTGTTTTACAAACGGGCTATATAATCTATAACTTAACTCAATTTTATTTTGTAGCTGGGTTTTGTTTAGCTAAATAAAGCTTAGTACTTTTACTTCTGTCCTGAGTTTTGTTTTACTTATCACAATTTATTTAACTAAACCAATACAAAAATAAAAATGGAAACAGTGTGGAAGCCAAAACACTTGGCTATTGACCCCTATTCACCAATAGCTGGTACAGATTATCACCATTGGCAAACCATACTGTTGAACTATTTCGACGATTACAAGGACAGAATTCCTAACAAGTACCAGGCCCTATTGAGCTGTACAAATTCCAGCATGTTTGAATATATAGAAGGATGTACAGATTTAAATATGGCTATATAAAAATTGGATAATTTATTTGTTAAAACACTTAATGAGGTTTTTGTGAGGCACTTGTTGGCTATGAGATGCCAGAAGCCAGGAGAGTCACTGGACGAGTTTTTCAGGGAGTTGGAAAAGCTGACACTCTAGAGACCATACTGCTGAAGAATGCGGCAATGAAGCTATGCAAGACGCCTTCATTACAGGCATAAGTTCACATCCCATATGGCAGCTTATACTCAAGGTTCTGCATTGGACTTAGCCCAATGAAATAACGACTTGTACACTAATTCAAATGGCAGCAACAGCTGACTATTCTACAAAGGTACCTGAGAATTGTTATAAACCTCCAGTGAAACCCAATGAACCAGCAGTAACCATGACCGATCAAGCAAAACATAAATGCCTTTTTTGTGGATTTCTATATCATTCATAGGAACACTGTCCTGCTTATGTAACTACTTGTAAAAAATGTTCAAAGGACATTACACTTTGTCAAATTCATTAGCAACAGTAGCTGCTCTTTATATACTGACCATACTTACTAACGTACTACAGGAACTCTACCTTGCTGTGACGCACGTAATTGTTAATGGGGAAAAAACTAAGCACTCTACTTGATTCTTGTAGCACTGACAGTTTTATCAATGAAGGACTTATGCAGGAACTAAGCTTGAAAGTTCACCTATCTAGTAAAGGTATCACCATGGCCCAGAAAACTTTAAACACACACTAATTCAAGGGGCTACATAGTTGTAATTCTAATCCTTTGTTTTAACGACCAGTCGTATGTTGCCACCTGTTTGGGTGTTTTGAAGTATTTGTGTTTTGATGTGATACTCAGTCAGGATTTTCTGTGTCAGCATCAGAGGGCAACATTCAAATATGGTCGGTCCCTGTTTGAATTAACTGTGGACGGTGATTGTCAATTCTGTGCATTAAACGCAGCAGAGGTAGAAGAACCTTCACTATTTCCTAATTTATCACTGAACTGTGAGTTCATTGCTGCCAAGTTGAGGCACTTTAACAAGGAAGATCAGGCCTTCATCACTAAAGAAATTCAGAACTTGCTTTCTGAAGATGTAATTAAAGAAAGCATTTCACTATAGCAAGCCCAGCTGGTAGTGGTGAAGGACCCTAACCACCGTCATAAAATACGAATGTATATAGATTACTCACAGATGATAAACTTATGCACAGAACCGGATGCTTATCCCCTGCCAAGAATTGATAAAATGATTAATGACTTTGCTAAATACAGCATTTTTTTTCTCAATTTGACCTCAAATGTGCCTACCACCAAGTGCTGTTTAAAGAGTCAGATAAAAAATACACTGCTTTTGAGGTGAATGGTTGTTTGTTTCAGTTCTGTAGAATTTTGTTTGAGGCCTAAAATGGGTCCGCCTCATTCCAGAGAGCTATTAACAGGATAATAAAGAAAGAAAACCTATATGGTGCATTCCCTTATATTGATAATATCACAATTGCAGGATGCACCCAAACAAAACATGACCAAAACATAAAAAAGTTCCTGGAGGCTGTTATGAAAGCTAAACTTACCCCCAACAAGTCAAAAACTGTGGCTTCGGTACACTCCATCAATGTGTTGCGATACTGTGTCAGCAGTGGAATTATTAAGCCTGACCCAGAAAGACTTCATCCCCTAAGAGAGCTATCTCCATGAGAAAACTTGAAATCATTACAAAGGGCACTGATCATGTTCACATATTATGCAAAATGGATAAACAAATTTTCTAATAAAATTCTGCCTCTAATAGAAATTAAAAAATTCCCACTTGAGAAGAGGGCACTCAAAGCTTTCAAAGCAATTTAAAAAAAAAAGAACTAGGGGAGAGCACAGTACAACCAGCAGACAAAATAGCTTAACTTTTGAAGTTGGTTATGATACATCAGATGTCGCCATTTCTGCCGTCCTCAACCAAAAGAGATGCCCAGTTGCATTCATGTCAAAAACACTACAGGGGAGCAAATTAAAATATCACATAGTAGAGAAGATGATGGCAATTATTGAGGTGGTTCTCAAGTAGAACCACTATCATGACAACATTTCACCTTAGTTACTGACCAAAGATGGGTGACTTTCATATTTAACAATGAAAGACATACCAAAATTAAAAATGCTAAGATTCAGGAGTGGTGGTTAAAACTTGCAGTATTTGACTACACAATAAAATATCGTCCTGGCAAGGAAAATTTACTTCCTGACAAATTTAGTTGAGTTTATGCTTGTTCAGCCATTACCACTTCATCCCTCACTGACATTCACAATGAACTATGCCACGCAGGGAATTACTCGACTTTTGCATTTTGTTAGAGAAAAAAAAAGAAAAAAAAAACTCCTTTTTCTTGAGTCTGTGCAGAAATTAAACCTTGTTTCTATTGCCCACCAGAAAACACTCTTATCAAGGCAACCAGACCCATGGAACAACTGAGTATCAGCTTCAAGAGACCTGTACTTTCTGTTATATGTAACATATATTTACTTGACAAATACTTGTGGTTTCCATTCATCTTTCCATGTCCAAACATGCACATGGCATCAGTGATTAAATCCCTAGATCTATTGTTCAGCTTAGCTGGGATGCCTGGCTATAAACACTTGGACAGAAGGGCATCCTTCCTGTACCTGAGCAACTGAGAAACTAGCTCTCCCAAAAAGGGGTTGCAACAAGTAAAACCACTCCATACCACCTAACTGGGAACACACAAGTTGAATGATTTAATGGCATTATATGGAAGGCGATTCATCTAGCTGTTAAGTCATGTAACATACCTAAAAAGTATTGGGAACTTGTGCTAGCTGAAGTGTTACACTCCATAAGATCATTGCTGTGCAGCTCAACAAATGCTACCCCTCATAAATGCTTCTTTGCATTTCCGCGCTGCTCATCATATGGGAGTTCACTGCCATCCTGGCTAATGTCACCAGGTCACATACTATTAAAAAGGTTCATAAGAAACAGTAAAACCAATCCTTATGTGGACCAAGTTGAACTCCTCAACAGCAATCTGACATACACCAACATAAGATATCCAGGTGGAAGGAAGTGTACTGTATCTGGTCACAATTTGGCACCCTGCCCTGAAATGTAGTTAGCCCCTAAGCCCCCCAACTGCAGAACAAGATAGGATTACCCCAATTGTCATTATACCGGAGGAGGGCATGACATGTATCTGTTGTTGAGGTCCAACAGATAAGACGATCCAAATGGATGACAAAACCCCCAGATTGTTATTGATGGTGACGCCACAATTTTCCAAGGAGAGAAGAATGTGGTATCCCATGCTCATGTTGTACAAACAATAGACTTGCCTGTGTGGGCTATATAATCTGTGACTTACCTCTCTTTTGGAGTTTTGTTTAGCTAAATAAAGCTTAGTACTTTTACTTCTGATTTTTTGTTTTACTTATCACAATAAGTTTTATTAATTAACCCATAGCTGGAGGGAGAAGAGATGGATCCATACATTTCCCAAAGTTATTTGTGCATAAGTGAATATAATAAACACAACTGGAATTGAAACTCTGGTCTGATTTCCAATTTCAAGCCATTATCCATTATTACACCACCATGCACATCCAAGTTGATAGCACCTGGTATTTCCAAGCGGTCACTAATCTCGGTACTGACCAGGCTTAACATTGCTTAACTTCAGTGATCATATGGGAACAGGGGTTTCAATGTGATGTGTCCATAAAGAGACTTTATTGCCTTGCTTTGGATGAAAGGATTAATATACACACACACACACACTCTTTTAAAATATCTGTGTAAGTGGAATGATTGTCACATAAGTTTTGCTTTTAAAAACAGATATACTACCTTTTAAATAGAGAAATAATAATGAATAGAGAAAATAGCAACAGTTACCAGACACTAATCTTAAACAGTTAAACCAATAAAGCTCTAAATAAGGACTTGTAAAAAATACAACACCTACACCCACATTGTATTAAAAAATATTAGTAAAGTTGTTGGTTGAAACCCTGTCTAGCTCTGCTGGATGAGTTGCAAAGTCACCAACATTGTTAGCAGCCTTAAAAATAGAAATTATCCTTGGTTGAGAGTTTGACAGTTATAAAAAGATTTATTTTGTTGTATCATTTGGATTATAATTATTGGTTTAATTGTTCTAATACTGGTTTCTCAGATTAGATTAACAGTTGGGTCTACAGACAAGTCAAAGTACAAGCCTGGCAGGGATAATTGAAGGTGGCCTTGATAAGGATCAACATGTCAGGTTTTATTCATTAGTGGTCAATATTTTCTTTTTTCAGTTGGATCCTAATTTTGCTTCTTATGGATCTGAGTGAAGCTCACTTCTAGTAATTTTTTTTTCAGCTGATTACTGCTGATCTTGTATATCTCATTTCCCTTTACACTGTTATTCAATCTCAGTGACATGCCAAGCACTGAAATGACCCAATCTCTTTTTACACAACTTTCAGCCAATATTGTTTGTTTTGTTTCTGCCTGGTTACATTTGCATTTATTTTCCATTTTATTTAAAATCTTTTAAACCATCATACATGTAAAAACCATACTACTTATAATATGGTCAGAAATATACATATTTTTTTAATTGTATTTGTTTTAATCATTTCACCCCAAGCAAGTCAATAAAGCCACTATGACGCAAGCTGTTACTGAGTATTAGAGAATAGGAGAAAAAATACAATTAAGGAAAGCAGACAATAATGATGAAAAACACACTTATATAAATATTTATTTTTCAATAAAATCCTTGTCAATGCACTTAATTCAGTAATGAATATTAATCACATAAGTTGAACACTATACAGGGAAAATTCCAGAACAGGCTACTGACTTGAATGTTAAAAAAAGAAAAATGCCTCAGTTACAAATGCTTTTTGAGATTCAACCAAACATCTATTAATATTTATTCAAGTGTGTGAATTTTTATAATTAAATTACTGGTTAATTCATCATATCAATGTCTGTAATAAAAAAAAAATTATATATCATGCACATATTGGTTATCCGATAAAGTCGCTAAAATTATATTCCACAAGGATAAAAACCAGTTAACTTTTCAAAATACAGTAAATACCTTAGTTTCAAAATTCAATGATATTTTTAAGTAAAAAAATATGCTCTGCACACACATCATTACCCCAACACAAAAAGGCCAGATGTGAGAGACTGGCACTAATGGACATAGCTAAGTGGCATGCATGCACACACAAAAATGTCACTTGATATTTTAGCACAACCATTTGGGGAAGCTCTTTACTGCCTACTTACATATGAGAAATAATTGAATAAACCAAATTAATAAGTTTCTTTCTCTTGAAAGTCACGTGGTGCTTTGTCATTTTCCTCCTCTCTAGAGTGTGTGTGTGTGTGTGTGTGTGTGTGTAAGTAGATGATAATATTAGTCAACTTGCACAGTCAAAAGTTGGAGACATATTCCACACAAATCTTTTGCATTTCTATGAAAGTTTTTTAATAGTAAATGTATGCACAATTTAAATGCATATGTGAGATAAAAACAGGCTATAAATTCCAAGCAAAGAGTGTAAATGAAGGAATGATGGTTAAATCAGTAAATCTAACATTTCAACATTTGCTGAGTATCTCTCTATTTTTTAAAAATCCAAAATTAATAAGTATATATATATATATATATATATATATATATATATGAATGAAGAAATATAGTTTTAAGGCGTGCTATATTTATGAGATAAAGTGCTCAATATCAGAGAGAGCATATGTAAATATAAAAGTGAACACTGAAGTCAACACTCAGAGGCGACAGGCTGTTTCATGCTAAATGTAATAGTCAGGCTGACGATTGCATCTAGCATGAAACACCTGTCGCGTCTGAGTGTTGACTTCAATGTTCACTATATATATATATATATATATATATATTTATTTAAAAATATGATTCCAAATCGCGACATAAGAAGTCCCATGTTTCAAAACAAGAGCCGAAAACTTCAATATAATTATTTAAATTAAATTGAGTTAAAATAAGCTTTGTTCCATCTTCAAGCAAAATTTTTTTGGGAATTCCCAAAATATTTGGCTTGAAGATGGAACAGAGCTTATTTTAACTCAATTTAATTTAAATAATTATATTGAAGTTTTCGGCTCTTGTTTTGAAACATGGGACTTCTTATGTCGCGATTTGGAATCATATTTTTAAATAAATAATTATATTTATGCTCTACTTTTGTATTGAGCACTATTTTTAAAAAATAATAACTAAAATACTAAGGGACTTTGGATTATTTACCTAACCAGTTCCTTCCTATTTTCTATATATTTTCACATCTGTTGGTATAATCCAGGTGAGTCCTATTAACACAATATAAAATTTGAAATATGTTCAAACTGACTCACAAAAGAGTGCCCCATGTTTATTTTCTTTACAATTGGAATTAAGATACCTTTAGTAAATGACCATTTTCACTTACAAATTTTAATTTTAAAATTCGCAGGATTTTTTTCAAACTGTTTATGGTGTCAGTTCGTCATTACACACTTGTGCTAAGTGGAACATGTGTTTATTTTCATGTTATGTAATGATCTCCAACAATGGTCAGAAGATTTCCCAGTTCTTATTTTGTAACCATTTTTAAGATCAATCTGGAGGATATAATTTTTTTCCATTATAAATCATAATTGTCTTAACAGAGAAGTTCTTCCAACCACCAATTCTAGCATCAGAAATCTTGGAAACTAAGGTGAGCCACATTCCTTCTATCTGATTGATGTCAATATGTAGATTCTTGAGTGGTTTATTATGAACTATACTTTTTTTTTTTTTATTAACCTTCATTATTTGTGCTTCCTATCTGATTTGGCACCCTAATATTGGAAAATGTCAATGAGGGGGAAACCCATTCACCTTGATATAATAGAGATACAGAGACAATATACTCATGTTTAAAGGGAAATACTAAACCTCTGCAAATGATTTGCTACAATACCCTAGTTTTAGTCTAACTTTAGTTTTTTTTGTTTTTTTTAAAGTCATGTCAAACTTTTGAATATCTCAAAATTACTCACCTTCAGTAACTGTTTTTTGATACTTATATATGGAAATAAAGCTAGTGTTGATCAGTGGTATTTAGATTAAGAATAATCAAGTAGTTTGATAGACATATGCATACATATGTGTCTTAGGGTTTAGCATGACCAGCTGATTGATGTCCATCTCGCCTAAATGGAGTGTCGCAGTTCACATGACCACTTATGGACCATTCAGACACCAGGATCCTGTTCTCGGGTATCACAGGTTGTTGTCTCTACACCCAACAGTTGACCCCTTTTAAGAGGGTTCTTGTCCTCGGTAGGTGATGCAGTTTGCATATTCTAGGCATTGCCAATTAGGACAAAATGTATTATGTATAAATGTAAAATAATGTTAAAGTAAACAAAAAAGCACTCCGTAAAATAAACCATGTATGTACATCTTAAGGTTAAACAGTTTCATCAACATGTCTAATTTCACATTTCATACTGATACATAAAAATAACACTTTTAGGCAGACAAAATATAATATATTAATTTTCATAGCTCCCATACTAATTTCAACTAGAGTTCCGACATTTAACATCTTTCAGTCTTTGGTGTGAGATGTGTAGCAGAAATGATAGAAGACATTAGTGTAATGAAGAAATTTTGTTTCAATAATTAAAAAATAACCAACTGAAATGAAACACGGACTGGCTGACATTGTGACACCGGAGTCATGAGTAGCATGATTTTAATTTGGAAAATACTACACACACCTCTCTGATTGGGTCACACACAAGATGAATTCTTTTTCTTTTCCACTGAATAGTGGAAGTACATTATAGAAAATATGATAATTTTTTAAAATTATTTTCAAAGCAGTAGATATTTGAGAAATCCATAACATCTACTGGGAATAAACAACTTGAAAGCAGATAGATAACCAGTTCAGCAAATACACAAAAATAGAAAGCAGAGTAAGACAAGGACATGTTTCTTATTGGAAAATATTATACAGTGAAAATGATCCTAAGAGAAATACTATGATTTATTATTGGTAGACAAACTCTTAACAACATAATATACAAGAATGACACTGGGTTGATGGCAAACTCAAAAGAAACTGAAAGAGTTTTAAGACAAGGTAGGAATGGAAAACAAGACAAAAGGATGAGATATTAAGTAAGAAGGCAGAATGCATGGTCATCAGCAAAAGAAAGCTAGAGGTCTCATCTATGTTTCAGGGGGGGGGGATCAAAATCAAGTGGGTACAGAAATTAAACTATCTGGGTAGTTAATGCAATAAAAACAGACATAATAAAAAGTGACAAGCATTAACTAAAACTACAGCAGCTGGCAATATGAAAGGGAAAAAATCCTATAGAATAAGTTAAGCAGTTATTGCTTCTCATCAGAACTTAATTGTGCACATCAACTAAAAAGAGAGAAAAAGGAGGAAAGAAAATACTCATGTATCAATTATATATTTACTCGGGTATATCTAGAGATAAATCAGTCTGAACAACAAATCCTTTAATTTGAAAAAGAACAGTTGTCTTGATTCAATATAAATTGTCTCAAGGACTTTCAAGAGATAGAATGTGATTCATTCAAAACTGAGAACATATCCCCATGGAAGGATGATGCACATTCTGAGAATGATGATCCGGATATAACAAAACATTTACACA